ACTATAGTTTGTCTTCCAAACACAAAAGTCCCTTATGGTCTAAGAAAACACTAACTCTAGCACCAGTATCAGCCTTACCTCCATGTAGTTTCCTTACCCTCCCCTTATTTGTTAACTTTTCCACATCTCTCCATCCCTCACACCTAACTGAAGCTCTCTACAGAAAAACTCTGAGTTACACCAGGACAGAATGATTCCCCTGTCTGACACTGGATAATCCAGAGAGCCCCACAGAGAGTGGAAGGAAGAGTGTGGTGCAAGAAGCATTGTGCTTGAAGAGCTGAAACTCTGAACCACCACAGAATCACGGGAGTCAGGAGTCAACGTAGCCCCATTTCTAACCCTGCCAGTGGGAATTTTCCTTTTCTCTACACAGCCTGGCCCTCCTTGGGAAGACCCCAGGTTTAATGGGCCAACCTACCTTGAGAGTGAGTCTGACAGTTAGTTAGGAGGTGCGGGGCATTCCGAAGTCCTCGAATAGTTTAACTTAGAACTTGCTTATCTACTAAATGACTGAGCCAATTTTTCATTATAAAAGTAACTGATGCTCCATTTTATAATTTTAGAACACAATTCAAGTTTATAGATTTATACATCAACATAGGCTTAATCACTTAACAGTGTGAATGCAACTCCTGTTCTTCGAAATAAAAATAGGGAAGTTTATGAACCAGTGCAAAACTAGTAAATCTCTTGATACATCACCCATGAAAATAAGTAAAGAACAGGAAAAAAGTCATTTCGTGTCTATTTTTATCTTCAAAGTAAAATTAGTATGGAAGATTAAGACTCTTTTTCCTGAGCAATGATTTAGGCAATGATTGTCACTTGTACCTAAAACAAAATTTGGATTTTTAATTCCAGAAAAATTGTAACAAGTTAGGATTTATAAGAATAATTGTTATTTTAAAAAATAAACACATTTGGTAGAAAATGTAAATATGATAGAAAAGCTCAGATGAGTAGAAAGAACATTCCTTACAAAATACAATGTTTTAGAAGTAAGAGCAGGGGAGAGCTGGGCATGCGTTCAGTGACAGAGCACTTGTCGGGCATGAGCAAGAGCCTGAATTCCCAGCATCACAAAAAGAAAATAAAACAACTAATTGATTTATTTAAAAATGAATACAAATCAAGCATCCACAACCAAAACATCTGAATCTGAAATTTCTGAGCAAATGCCAAGTAGAAAGCTCTATACCTGATCGCTTATGATGTGTCTTAGTCAAAACACAGGTACACTTAAGATAGTATATAAAATTATCTCAGGCTATGTATCTACAGTGTGTATGAAACACAAGTGAATCTTATGTTTAGACTTACATCTCATTCCAGCCTAACTTATTAGGCATATGCAACTGTTCTAAAATCCACGCCAAATCAGAACCATTTCTAGCTCCAAGCGTTTCTTCTACTCAGCCATGACAGCTACTCACTGTGCTAATGTTTTGCTGAGTTGTCTTGATTCTCTGAATTTCGGGAGTGTCTGCCACAGTGGAATAGTTAGACAGCATTTTCTCGGCTTCATCTTTATACTTTTTCTAAAAGTACAAAATTTTTATGAAGTGAAAACTATGTGATGGAGTGAGAGAAGAAAAAGAGAAATGAGAGAGAGAGAGCACATACATATGGGAGGTATAAGCAAGCACACACTGAAATTTAGAAAAATCTTAAATCTATACCAAATAGGTTTTAGAAATCACTCAGTAATGCTTCAAATGATTAAATCTGAAGTCTGGGCTGGCACAAAGTACCAGTGCCTCAATATTTACGTGTCATCCATCTCAGTATCTACGGATTTAATCTGAATAATGATGCGAACATCAATCCAGACCAAAAATAGTTAAACTGGAAGTCCACTGTGACAGGCTACGTCTAAATAAAATTCAAGAACAGTTCTTAGCACAGAGAGCTAATAGCAAAAAGGCTTGCACTCGGAGGTGGAAAATGTCGAGCTGCTTAAATGTTAGAGAATCACCTCCTGGTTTGACAGATCCAGCTAATCTCCAAAGGCCAACTTTCCTTTGAATACTAAGCAGGAGTTTACGGCCCAACCTCAGAGATACAGAACTATGCATTTATTGTTTGCTCGAAGAGACTGTGGGATGCTGGGAGGGAAAAAAACTACATATATATATATACACACACACACACACACACACACACACACACACACAGAGAGAGAGAAAGAACATGGCTCTAACTCACATCTTAAGATTCGGAATAGTTACAGATGCAACAGCTAAAGTCAAGGGTGTGAGAAACTGTCTAGCATAGCAGCTCTACCTCTGCTCGGGTATGATGCCCCCCCCCCCAGTTCATTCAGACCCCTCGGTGAGATTGACCTGTCACTATTTGTGCAATTTCCCTCGGGTGAGAAGTCTAACATTAAGAAGAACATTTTTGTTTTTCAAGGTTCTCTAATAAAAATGGCACAGGCATTTCGCTGTAGGCCACAGCCGTGTATCCTATAAAACATTTATATCTGATTACAGTGATGGGTACATTCCAAATGTTATCATTTAAAATGAAGGAAACAAACGTTTCACACTTCTTTCCCAGACTAACTTCTCTGTCAGGCCTGAGTGGCATCTGGTGCAGCTTCTCAACATGATACAGACAACACGCACATAGACTCATCCGTGCCTCAGCCTCCTGTCCTTCCTCTGGATGCTGTCTCAGGACACGGCTTCCTTCACACTACGGAGGTCTTACTGCACCATTGTTCTGCACAAGTTTCATCATTTCATTTTAAAGCGTGCTTACTACAGGAACACCTTGGCCTCCTGAGACTCTTTCTCCACAGAAGCCACACCTCAGTGATAAGCTGAGGAGGCCATCAAAGTCTTAGAGTTCTCCTTGATGAATGCCATCAAGTTCTAATGGATAGATTAAAGGAAAGTTCTAGAAGACTGTGTCTCCAAGGCTGGAGGGGAAGAGATGAATACTAGAAGAATGTTAAAGAATCTTTTATACTCCACAGCAAGAAACTAAATATACCACCTACACATGAATGAATGAATGAATGAACGAATGAATGAATGAATGCTCTACTGAAAGTAGAGAAAGTATTTGTAGGAAATGTCATGAGTAAATGGAAGAAATTGTTATGGCATTAAGCACTTCCTCTACCTTTTCCCTCAGTCAAAAGCACCATGGGCTAAGTTATTTCACAATTCACACTGAACTGATGTGTTTTCCTTTGCAGAGAGAAGTAAAGGGGAGATGAGGCTGGGAAACCGAAATATGGTCAGAAATATACCCAGGAGAAAGCTCAAAATGTGATGGACATGGGATAAAAATAGAATCACTGCATTAAAAAATCTAAGCCTTCACTTAATCCACCGAATAAATGTTTTGAACCCTTTGATCACCTCAGAGGGGTAAAATTCCTTTGCTCCAAGTGGGAGAACAGCATTAAATGTATCCTTTCACTGCAAAATGTAACACAGTTAAAATTCTGCTCAAAAAGATGAAAAGTAATCCTAGATTTTATTAAAATGACCTATGTCCTCTTTACTCTGCTTATATCAAAATGAAATGATGCTTCAGGTTCAAGGGAAACAAGGCTATAGTTTCCAGTCTGGAAGTCAGACCTTTGGTGATTGATGAAATCATATTTCAGGAGGGCGTAGAATAGAAGGGAAAGAGCGGCCTGCTGAGAAAAGACTGAAAACATTCATCTGGCCTCTGTTTGCTCCGGGAGAGGATAATTAATACCGTCGAGAACTTACTGAACTAATATTCTGCTGGTTTTTCTTCACTCGTTCAATCTCTGGAGTATTTTTTACTGCTGTGCCAGCTCCCACGTCTTTCTTATAAAATACCTTTATTGTGGGAGAAAGGAAAGAAGAACTGTAAGAACTTAGAATTCAAGACCTAGATCTGATTGTTATAAAATCAAGACCATTTCTTAGGTTTTATAGTAATGTGAATACTGGTTCCATTTATGAGTAGCAATGTTATATTAGTCAATTAAATAGTCCATTATGATAATAAACGTTTAACTTTGGTTTCAGATCTTACAACCTGGTAACCCTCTAATACTTTCTTTAAGGCATGATGAGTTCCTTCGCCAGAGGTATTTTA